CTTGTATTAAAATAAGAAGAATTCTAATTATTTTATTAATATAATAAGTTGAATTACTATACTTAGACTGACTGTGTGACCGTGTCTGAGACCAGAATCAAACTTTACAGTTGTCACATTATCTAAAAGCATTACTTCTGATCATGATTTGTGTTTATTACATTGATCTCAAATCTCATTATTTCAAATATTAAAGATCTCAGATTCACTTTTCAAATAAAAATCTAGTCTCAGATAAAGAATATGTTTGAATTCTTAGTCACATTTTCATTCTGATTTCATTATTGAAAATGGCATTAAATGAGATCATCATCCAAATCATTTCTCATTACATAATATCTAAACATAAGTACTCATTTGTTAAAAATTCAACAGAGAGTATTACTAAATATTTTTACTTTTTCTAACCACAGCTCATAATTAATATCATTTTAATTAAAAAAAAATGTAAAATCCAAAAAATAACAAAAAAAATAAAAAATAAAACCACAAGAAAAAATCCAACAAAAAAAAAAAAAAAGAGAAAGAAAAAAAGAAGAGAAAGAAAAAAAAAGATAGAAAGAGAAAGAAAAATAAAAAAAAAAGAAAAGAAAAACAAAAAAATAAAAATAAAATTAAAAAAAAATTCAAGATCACAGAGCTGCAGCACTCTTAAAATACTCACTTCTCAGAGTCTTTACAATGTTTATTATTAACTGTGTATCTCTCACAGTGAGAATAACACAGCTGTAATAAGTCATTATCTTAATATCATCTAATAAATAATCAGTATATATCTATATAAATGTGAATAATTAGAAAACATACACTTAAAAAGTGTGATCAGAATGAACTCTGCTGTCACTTGAATGATATTAAGAACAGAACACTGAAATTGATGATTTCTCTCATCAATTTCACAGATAAGATATGTAAAGATGATCTTGAAGAATATAAGATTCTCTGACTTCTGATAGAAACAGATCTCACAGAGAGACTCTATTTTCATCATATCAGAGACTGAGTATTATTAAAAAGTATTACTTTAATACATATGTACTTACTGCAGTAATTCATTCTCTGTGCATGTAGCTGAGAGTTATGACTTTCTCACGCTGCACAGCTCTCTCTGAGATGCTGCTGCTGATTTGCAATTCACAGTCTCTCAGTTCAGTATACACTGTGTATATACAGCTCTGTATGCTGAAGCTGTATTGATCATTATAATCTGATATGATACTCACTTTTCACAGGTCATGTTTTATTTGATTGAGAGGAGAGAGAGACACAACTGCTGTTTTATTTAAGAGAAAATGAGTAATTATTATTATTATTATTCTTCAATTATAAATGTATGCAGTCAGAGACTATGATATCTACCTGAGAATCTTTAGTTCTCAGAGTTTTTCCTATGTCTATAGAGTCAACTATTATACATTTATCAATTTTAAATATGCAAAATCAGAAAATTCCAGCTCAGAATATAAAAACTGTTTATAAATTGCAGTATTTCAACACCTTCTGATAGTTTGAAATCATTTGAAAATATTATAATAAAAGAAAAGAGAACATAGTCTTAAAGATAGACACATTAAATAGATAGAGAAAAGAATAGAAGAAAACAAGTACAGTAAAGAGAGCTACAGAACAAGATCTCTGCAGTTTACATCTTAAGCTATATACATATTTTAACACTCTATATAACTGACTGCCATCTCTGTCCTCTCAGGCCTGCTTCAGAGGTTATCATTTCCTCTAAAGAGCTGCTGCTCAGCTAGCTCCTGTAACTAGCTTACTTATAAGTGAGATTCTTACTAAGAATAACATCAGAGCTACTTAATTCTAGTTAAGTCTCTAATCTTCCAGCTGTCAATCTTAGCATTTCAGCCTATCAATTGGCTGTCACAGTCTTGCTTACACTAATCACCTATTAAGAGTGCCTAGGTCTCATCTCACCTAGGTTCTTGCTAGGCTCAGAGTGTTCTAATTGAATAGTTTTTAAATCTCATTCCCCGGAAGTGAGTGCCTAGAGTGAGAGGGATGAGACCTGGCCAGTTAAGCTTGATAATGATTCACTATTCTGCAGGCATTCTAGACCTCAATCACTCTAGTACTGATCTAACTTGAAGCATCTGAGAGGCTGTTAACCCTAAGATCAGTGAGAATTAGCACTCGGGAACCCTCAGGATGAATATCTTAAGCTTGACAATGATTCACTATAGTGCACCCAGAGGCCTCTGATACTGTTTTATGACTTAACAGTGAAAGCTGTGGTTAAGATGACTCTCACAGGGTTCGAACCTGCCCTCTCTTAGCATTCATTCCCCGGGGGGAAGGCCGCTAATTGAGGCTCCATGATAGCGTAGTTAATCACTACGCCACCGGGCCGGAAATGAGTAATTGAATCTGTAGAAGATAATTTGATTTCTTCTGCATTTGAAATTTAATTAGTCTATACTCTTTAATTTGAGAGTTTCTGAGAGTGTTTTAATAGTTTTCATACCAGCTTGGAATTAGTGATTGATTGAAGAAGAGAAAAGAGAGAAGAAAGAAATAAGAATAACTTATCTTTATAATATAAAAATAGAGAATTACTGCAATCATTTATTCTAGTAATAAAGATCTGTTTTCTGCATGTATCTCTGATACAGATTATATAATAACTGTATACAAAGAATATCAACAGTGCATGTATTGAATGAAGATAATATTACTATATAACACTGTAGCTGTTTCTGTACATCACTGAAAGCTATTAATATTTTCTTTGAGTCTCTTTATATTTAATAAGTTAGTAATATATTTCAATGCACTTTCTCTTTTATTATCATTATTATTATCATTATTATTATTATCATTATCACTATCATTATCATCATCTCTCTATATATTATAGAAAAACCAACTTTTCCGAGTAAAATGCCCTGTAACGTGACCTCACATGATATCACATGCACCCCCATCAAATCCATCCATGAATATGTAGTGGCGCCGCCAATTGCACCACTCTATCTACCCCCTACCACGGCCTCTAACGCCCCGTAGCACCCCCTATTACTTCCACTTCATACCCCTACCTTCATCTTACCACTCACTCTTACCACCCCTACCACCCCTACCACCCCTACCACCTCTACCACCACCACTGCCTCTACTGCCTCGCAGCACTCTCTATCACTTCCACTCTCTATCTCTACTCTCATCTTACCATTCTACCCCTCTCTTACCATCTCTATCACCTCTCCCATTTCTACCACCTCTATCACCCCTCTCTATCACCTTTTCCACTCTCTAGCCTCTCTATCATCATCATTATCTCTACTACTCTACAGTCTCTTCTATCACTTTCACTATCTCTACTTCTCTCTTACTATCTCTATCACATTTTGATCTCTGTGCTTATAGTATGTACTGCTAAATACTCTGTAATAAAATCTCATGTGATGTCATATACATCTCTTTGAATTCATGAATGAGATTGAATAGCTGACTCTACAGTCTGTACAGCTCTGATTAATCTGATAATGATGATAGAGATGATACAGAGTGAAAGAGAGTAGTAGAAGAAGTAGAGATGATGATAATGGTAGAGAGGATAGAGAGTGAAAGAGATGGAAAGAGTGGTAACAGTGAATAGAGATAGAGAATAGAAGTGATAAAGAGGGTTGTGAGGTGGTAGAGGTGGTGATGATGATAGAGGGGGATTGCGGGGCGGTAGAGGCAGTGGTGGTGGAAGAGGGGGTAGGGGTGGAAGAAGTGGCAAGAGGGTAGGGGTAGAGGGTGCAAGTGATAGAGGGGGCTATGAGGCGGTAGACGCGGTGGTGGTGGTAGAGATGGTAGGGCGTGGAAGGGGTGCACGGGGTCCTACGGGGTGCACGGGGTGGTCCGGGAAGAGCCTGCCGATGG